TGTGTGTGTGTGTGTGTGTGTGTGTGTGTGTGTGTGTGTGTGTGTGTGTGTGTTTGTTTATTCAAACTGCATTTAATATAAAGAGCATGAAACACAGCTAGTTTATAGCCTTTGGCTATTAATGGTCTGGGGTTCATAATCAGACTGTGATCAGTGTGTTTCATGCCTTTTGTATGCACAAGAAAAAATTACAAAATACAGTTTTACCATCACAGCTGTTAGCAAGGTTTGATGTCATCTTCAGCTGCAGTACAGCTCATATCCAGTTTACTTTTATTGTTTCATACAGTGTGTGTGTTTACATTACTCAGACATGAAAAGCTCTACTTTAAAGTATAAAAAGCGATTGATGATTTTATTTCCTAAGAGTCAAACATGACTGTATGATTCTCAAACTACATATATGAGGGAGAACATTTCAAACTGACATGGTGGATTGGATGAGCTTTTATTCGTTAACTGATTTGGTTAACTTATTCAAAATAAAGTAAAAAAGGTCTATGTCTAACAGTCAGACATAAAATTCACACTTTGAGAGAAAAGTAAATATTAAAATACTAATGAAGTGATACAACAGGAACTCTGAAATGTGTGTGTGTGTGTGTGTGTGTGTGTGTGTGTGTGTGTGTGTGTGTGTGTGTGTGTGTGTGTGTGTGTGTGTGTACAAAAGGAACTGTTCAACTCTTTACCACAGAATTTAGTTCTGATCTGTACCTCTCTCTGTTTGCTTTCTCAATATAAGCCATATGAGCTTGTGTCATCTTCCCAGACACTGTCCTTGGTCTCTTTCTCTCTGACCCCATAGTCAGCATGGTACACATCAATGATCAGATTCTTGTTGCTGTCATGAGCTGACTGATAGTTGGTGACCACACGGCATGGGATGCCCAACAGACGCATTACTGGAACCACAAACACAAAGAAAAAAAAGTCAATGAGAAATTTCTCAAATTGCACATTAGTTTTTCATTTTATTTTTAAATGTTGTTGTTCTTATTGTTAAGCCACTAGTTGGGGTTGCACTCCCCTAGTGATGGAAAGTGTCAGGAAAAGACAGATGACAGAACCACATATAACCACATGTGGTTATTTTAGTTGTTTTTGTACTCCAATTTGCACTAAGCACTGCGGCCATTCTCCTCTGACCTCTTAAAACAGGGCATTTTCTCCCAGAAATTGATGCTCACTGGATATTATCTGTTTTGCCGACCATTTTCTATAAAACAGAGATGTTTGTGTGTGAAAATCCCAATAGAGCAGCAGTTTGTGGGATACTCAAACCAGCGATTCTGGCATCATCAACCATCTCACTTCAAGTCATCATCTTTCCTTCCTCATTCTGATGATTGATTTTGAACTACCATGTCTGCTTTTCTATGTCTACATGCCTAAATCAATTTAGTTGCTGCCATGTAATTGGGTGCTTAGATATCTGCATTAACGAACAGTCTATCAGATGTACCCAGCAAAGTAACCGTTTAGTGCATGTAGAACTAGAACCCTGTCCGGCCACAATGGAGTTTGTGTTACTGAGCATGTATATATACCTGAACACATCACGCCAGCAAATACCCAGCACTGTCCATATTTAACTGGGTGGCAGCTGATGTTGTGCCAGCGCTTCAGGATGTGATAGCTGCCAGACCAGTGAGAGGGTTCATCCCCACCCCAAAATGGACCTGCCCACCGTCCCCCCAGGAAGCCATATTCATCTCCACTGTTGATCTGGAAGAAAAAAGGAATGCAAAGTTCTCTCTCATAATGTGATTTATACATGTGAGCATTGTCCCCTCTCAAAATGACTGTGAACCATTAGTTAACAGCAAGCTATGTTTGTTGGCTTCTTTGGCCAGCTCTCAATTTGTCGTATAAATAATACTGGAAGAGCTGTTCTTCTGGTTTGCCAAGCTGCTCACCGTAAAATAAACTAATGAATGAAAAAATTAAAATGTACTTCCAACAACTTGTTATAAATTATGTCAAAATATATAAATTAGGGAAAAATACATACATCTTCCTTCCTTCTTATTTATCCCTTCTATCTTCACATCTTACTTATTTTCTTCCTTCCTGTAATTTACTCTACTTCTAACTCCCTTTTTCATTTTTCATTTCCTTCCTTCTTTCTATACTTTTTAATTATTCCTTCATTTTATATTGCGTTCGTATTTTACCCTAATGCCTTATATTTTATGTTAAACACTTCAAATCACCTTCTTGCAGAAATGTTCTAGGCAAATGACACACGGAGCATATATCCTACCATGGCGCTGACCACACGGCTGAGATAGATGGGGTTACAGTGAGCAGAAGCATCCTTAGCTGGGTTTTCCAGGTGCTTTGGGTTGACATCTAAGATCTTCAGACAAATTTTTGCCATGTCCTCTTCAAACTGGACAGGAAGAGAGCAGCTTATCTTAAACTGCAGGGTTGTAGGTTATTACATAGAAGATTATTATCATGATTTTAAAAAAAATATTTATACCTGCCCAAAGTCCCAGTGAATAGATATGAGGTAGTCCCCACTTCCTTTGTAGATTATGCCATGTTCATTCATCACATACTCCTGTGTCTCTGCCTCATCACAGATAGACACTGAATCATCTAAAGAGAGACAGGGATCTGGGTAAAAACATGAGACAGGCAGATCAGTGATTGGTAGTTGTTGTTTTTTTGGGGTTTTTTTTTTTAATGAAAACCCATCAACAGATGAGCAGTGTTGATGGACAGTTAGTCAAACAGGTGGGCAGACAAAAAGATAACAAACCTACCAGGACACCAGGGATTGAAGAGCACTACCAGATTTGCCAACAGTGTTTCCTCGTCCCTATATCTGGTAGTTAAGTTGTACTCTCCGATTGGAGCGTCAGCTGGAGGGGTAATGGTCAAATTTAAGGAGCCTGTTAGTGGGTAGGATCTCTTCTCCAGCTCCACCTTCCACACTGCCTCTGCTGACGGTGAACGCTGGATTTTGTCAGGGATACCAAAGCATGACTTTGTCCCGAGGTCCTCAGATGGATTTTCTCCTGTAGAGAGGATTCACAAAGATCAATAACATAACAATACAATACCTTCAAGCTACTAATTTTAACCAAAGAGTCTACATGAAAGATGTAAAGAAGAAAAACTGAGTTATATCTGCATTATTTCTAATGGTCAGCAGGGGGCAACTGCTTAAAAAAAAGTGGAGTTGCAAAGAACAGTATAAGAAAAAAGCAATAAGTAAACACTTTTCTAATGAGTTTATACTCTCAGTTCCTATGTTCAAGTTTTACTGAATCCAACAAAATGTTCCTGTTATACGTTTTTTCTTCATTATCGTCAAAAACAATGATAAGCTAGATATGTTTGAGGGTGGATCTGCTCTGTGATTGACAAGTCCCTATTAGAAAAGTACGGTTCCTCAGTCAGTTCCCTTGACATGTTAGACAAATCAGGGCTTTAAAACAGTGGTCCATAAACTGGTCAAAGATGTCACACCGGCCGGGTCCAACAAGCAGCCTGGGATCATCTTGAGAGAGAACAGAACAAAAGGCAGCCAAAACACAAAGAAGAGGTTTGAATGCTCTTCAGAAAACCTGGAAAACTAATATTGAAGACTATTTACAGAAATTTAATGAAAGCTTGCCGTAGAGAGTTCAGGCTTCATTGAGGAATGGAGCTGGAACCTGATGCCAGCAAAAGACTGAAAGGTGTGTACCCAAAAAAAGAAAATCAACTGTCATATCCAACTGTGCTAGTTGGCAAACGCCTTTAAGTAAAGCTTAGATTACTTATAAAAGAGCCTTTCCCTTACGTGCCACATCTGGGATTTTCCTCACCCTTATAGTCTGCCCCACCCTGATTGGTTTCACCTGTTTTTATTATTCTTGATCTTTATTTATTTTTCTCTTTTTTAATTCGATCAGCTCATTAATAAAACCCACTTTCTGCTTGGAATACCTGATTCTGGTTTTGTGTATTTGAATCCTCTTTTTAAAGTATACTATACTACACGCAGCCTGTGAGCAAGCACTTTTGTAACAGTGGGAAGGAAAAACTCCCTTTTAACAGGAAGAAACCTCCAGCAGAACCAGGCTCAGGGAGGGGCGGCTATCTTTATTAGGGGAGGAAGACGAGACAAAGACACTTTGAATTAACAATTCATTCTAATAAATCAATTGTTAATTCAACATTATAAATTAAACATCCATGGTTTCTGTCAGTTATTCAGAATGACAGGGTGTTAGTCTTAGGCATGTGTTCAATGATAAAAAGAAAATTTCCTTTCTCAGCATGGTTATACGCTTTTGAAAAAGTCTAATAAAAATGGACTATTTAATAACATACAAACCTGTCACTGCAGCGATGGTGAGTGGGTAAAAGTCAGGCTTGAAAGGTTCTGTCAGTTCTGTTGCCTCACAATCAGCTCATCCTTTGAGATTTTTTTGGTGTGATGTTCAGTGTTGTTGGTCTCACAGTTGAGATTCACTCCTTTAAAAACTGAGACTTAAAATAAAAAGAAAAATTATACAAACTTTAGTTTTGTGCCTCAAAAGGGCAGGGTAACAAATTAACACAATGCTCGTGTGTGATGCAAGCTCTCTGGAGAACTGCATAAAGAAGTCTGCCAATCCTCAGCTGCATTTGTGAATTTTGTAACTGCACAAAAATGATCATCATGTAGCTCTAACCAAAACTGGTTAGTGTCATATCCAGAGGTTGTCTTTTGAAAATAGATGTATGAGTGCTGCCAGGCGTGGAGGATCAGCCTGATGGCTGTCGTCCATGAAGAAAGCCTCTTCTAAAGATAATGCACAAGAAGGCCCGCAAACAGTTTGCTGAAGACAAGCAGACTAAGGGCATGGATTACTCGAACCACGTCCTGTGGTTTGATGAGACCAAGATAAACTTTTTTGGTTCAGATGGTGTCAGGGGTGTGTGGCGGCAACTAGGTGAGGAGTACAAAGACAAGTGTGTCTTGCCTACAGTCAAGCATGGTGGTGGGTTGTCATTGTTTGGGGCTGCATGACTGCTGCTGGCACTGGGGAGCTACAGTTAATTGAGGGAACCATGAATGCAAGCATGCACTGTGCTTCCTTCAGAAGGGGGTGGGGGTGGGGGATCACAGTCCCCATCATAAAAAACTATGGTGGGGACTGTATATTGGGCCACATTAGTGCAATGTATTATACTAATATACCTGTGAATTATCAATGAGTAATTGTTTTAAACTAATGCATATTGTACTTTAATCAACAAGAGTCTAGATACTGCATAAACATCTAATCAAGTGTTTGTGCCCACTGTGTGATGCTTCCAGGCATTTCCTCATTTTAAATCACATGAGTAATCACAAACTGTAATCCACAAGTTACAGTCAGGTCTAATAATCACACCTCTTGTAGGGAAGTCATGCAGTGGGTTTGGTTTTTTCTTTGTTAGCAGGATTACTCAAAAAATAGATGGATTTATTTATTTAAATTTTTTTGCAAGAGGTGAAGTTTGATCTAGCTTAAAAGTGATTAACCTCTGCAGTTCATCCAGATTTGGATCCATTTTTGGCAAGATTCTTTACTATTGTGAGAACTGGACATGTAATCTAATATCTTTATAAAAACAAACTGAACCACAGTTAAAATTGGGAAACTCCTTATAAAGTTCTCAAGAAAATATTAACAACACGTCCAGATTCAGATATTTGACTCTTGCACTTTTACCTACAGACCGTGGATAATGGACAGAACAACATAAAAAACTATAATCTGTGTCTTTCATCCCTCAGTTTAGTCTGCAGTTTAATATCAATTCTATGTTTATAGCACCATTTCACAATAACAGGCATCACCAAGTACATTGAGAGGTACAGACCTTACAGCAGGGATGTCAAACTCGTTTTACATTGTGGGCCAGCCCACTTTGATCTTAAGTGGGCACAGCAGTGAAACTCTTCTTTATGTTGGTAACTAAAGTAGTTATGCATTTAATCACCGAGACATTTTAATATAAGAAAAATAAGAAAAATCGCGGGGGCAGCAGCTGAACTAGAAAAGCCCAGACCTCGCTCTCCCTCGCAACTTCCTCCAGCTTGTCCAAGAGAAGACCGAGGTGTTTCCAGGCCAGCCGAAAGCGTGTCCTTTGTCTGCCACGGAGCCAACTCCTGGTGGGACATGCCCAGAACACCTCATGCAGGAGGCGCCCAGGAAACATCCTCGTCAGATGCCTGACCCACCCCAACTGGCTCTTTTCAATGTAGAGGAGTAGCGTCTCCTCTCTGAGTCCCTCCCAGATAGCTGAACTCCCCCTATCTCCAAGGGAGAGGCCAGCCACCCTTCGGAGAAACCTCATTTCCGGCACTTGTGTCCGCAATCACGTTCTTTCGGTCAAAGCTTATAATCATAGTTTAGGTTGGAGTCGTAGATCAACCAGTAAATCAAGAGCTTTGCATTTACACTCAGCTCTCTCTTGACCACAATGGACCAGTGCATCACCAATCCATCTATGGTTCTCCTGCTCCTCTCACTCATGAACAAGACCCCAAAATTCTTAAACTCCGTCACTTGGGTCAGTAACTCGTCCCTGACTGGCAGTGGGCACTCAGCCCTTTTCTGGCTGTGGACAATGGCCTCAGACTTGAAGGTACTGGTGCTGATTCTGATTCTCACCGCTTTACACTCGGCCGCAAACCCCTCCAGTGCGAGCTGGAACCCACCACCTGATGATGCCTACAGAACCACATCATCCACCAAAAGCAGAGGTGAGACCGCCCAAGTGGACAAACAGAATCAGTGACAAAGGGCAGCCTTGAAGGAATCCAGTCCCACCTGGAACAAGTCCAACTTATTGCCAGCTATGCAGACCAAGCCCTTTCAAGCCCCATCCATCTCCCATAGAACACCCTGACAGACATGGTCAAATCCCTTCTCCAAGTCCACAAAACACATGTGGACATGCAGACTTGATTTTACACAATTTTATTTCCTATTTGGTTTTTGCACTATGAAAAAAGACTAATTTGACTTTAGACATACTGTACAATCTGGACAAAAATAATTGTCATAAATTTGTACTTAAATTTATGTGACTATTACATATATTATTTTTTACAATATTAAATCAACATCTAGTTACATTTAAACTACATTTACATTGGTTAGTTTCAGTTCGAGGTAACTTTAAATTTACAAAAAACCTTTGTTTCAGGTCACAAAAACATTATAGCCCCCTACAGATGAAGCAGATGGCACATGTTATCGTGAACCATATATTTCACATCTTTCTTAGTGTTACCAACTCTTGAGGGCAATATCAGGCTCCTTAGCCGCTAAATTCTCCACAGTGTTCACCAGTTACTGGTGCTGAGCAGACAAACCCAATATGACAGCAGTAAAAGTATGACAATTCATTAAAGTTGAAGCTAGACAGACAAAGACAAAGTAAACAAACAAAGTAAAGTTAAGACTCCTGTTTCAGGAAATACATTGATCCATGAACTAAAAAGTGTAAAATCTGGTATGCTTTAGAGTTTTAGTGATATGCAATTTGCATGTTGCTCATTAAACCTGGTTTCAAAAGCTAAGATGGTGATAGCCACAATGTTCAGCATGAGGCTGGTTGGATAACAGTGTCACTTTTCCCTCTGAAATGACTAACAACTACTTTCTGCATTAATTAGGGTAGACAAACCCTTACTTCCAATCGGTGCCCACACCCTGCATTTCACAGAAAAAAATTACGGAACCTGTTAGAGGTCTACTGTTGTTTTACTTCCAAGAACTGAGACCTTTCAAACGTGAGACAGGTAACTTTGAGTCTTTGTTCCTCAAAATTTGTGTCCAGTGGTTGTCCAGTAAACTAAAGCTTTACTTATTAAATACTATCTGTGGTTCTCCATCTGGTTCATTAATGTTAATCCCCTTTCTACAGAGAAACTGGGTTGTAACCGCTGTAAACAATCATGTGGAATCTAAGCTAATAGAAAATTGAAAAAAATTAAAACCTTGAACACCCTGGCACTGCTTGTGTCATGTCTTAGCATGCAGTTCAGCTTCTTAGTTGGTGAATGTAGTCACGCATGAATAGGATGCAATTAGCATGAATCATCTAAAGCTGACTAACCAATAATATTGCCTAATGTTGTATCAGACTATCCCATCTTTCTTTTGGTTCATGTTGACTGACTCAGGCTTTTCACGAAGACCTCAGTTGCTGATATTGGCCAGACACACAGCTCTACGGAGAGTCATGCTAGTTCCAGACTTCTTCCATCTACAGATGATGGAGGCCACTGTGGTTGTTGGGGCTGTCAGTCCCGTAGTAATTTGGATTTCATGGCTTGGTTTGTGCTCTGATATGCAGTGTCAGGTATGGGATCTTTTATAGACAAGTTCCAAATCCTGTCCAGTCAACTGAATTGCCCACAGGTCGATTACCGAAGCTGAAGAGACGTCAGACAGATGATCAGTGGAAACAGGGTGCACCTGAGCTCAATGCTGCCAACTGTGTCATGGCAAAGGCTGTGAAAACTCATGTTATACTATTTATTTATTTAAAATTTATTTGCAAGAATTTCAAGCAAACTTTTTATGACTTTGTAATCACGGAGTATTGTGAATTTAACTCATTTTGAAATGAGGCTGTAACATGATGAAATATAGGAACAAGTAAAGCATTGTGACTATCAGATGCACTGTACAAATAATCCCTGAGATCCAAAAACTCTGCTCTGAAGGCTGAGGGTGAATAGAGGGGCTACACAAAAACCCAATATATGTCCCCTTCACCCCTAGTGTATCATGTTTCAAACACAGATTTTCTGTGAGTTTTTGAGACTTCTACATCATCAGTGTGATTTTTGTCATGTATGGAAATTAAAATTAACTTAAAAAAAAGTCAGATGGTCCAGCCTGAATTTTTACAAAAAGTGTAATTTTCCTCCAATTATTTTATATTTTAGGCTTTAAGGAGATATATGGATTATTTAGTTATTCCAGTACTGTCAACTAAAAATAAAAAATCAGTTAAACTGTATCTTTTAAAAGTTTAATATCAGAACATTCCACTTGTCGTTCAATAAGGACCTGGGCTGTGAACCATACCTATATTTCCGTGAATAAGAGGGAAAATTGCTAGATGACGACAGTACAAAGCTTCAATGCACTTCGCACACCAGTTGGTGGCATAACAGTGGAATTTTCCTCTTAAAGGGACTCACATCTACTTACTGCATAATTTTGGTAGACGCACCTTTCTACAGTGAGAAAAGTAACCTTTCGTTTCCCAGTGTTTGTGCGCTCTGCTTTCAGACCTTATCCACCTGTGGATAAGTGCATTCACGTTTTTTTCTTAGCTAACTGTATCCCTAAGATCTCATCAAAACAAGTAACTTGGCACATGCATAACCTTATTTTTGGGCAAAGTCACCAAACATTTTAATAGCATTTTAACTTAAATTTGATCTGTAATTCTTCAGACTGTTTTATGTCTCTGTGACCATCAACACGAAAGTTATATTTCATTCCCCATTCTTTCAGGTAGAGGATTCAAAATGAATAACCAGAGTGATTTTGTTTTATTTTGCTTACATAATCTGTTGATGAAGCTGTTCTTTCATTTTAACAGAACTGAAAATGCTGTTTATTTGAGTAAGTGAGATCTATGACATGTTATTTTATGCAGATTACATTGTGTTCTCACAAAAAACAGTGTAAGAAGTCCCACCTCTTAATTATTTTTTTCTTTTGCACACATTTATACTCGTTTCAAAATCCATAGCATTTTTATACA